CAAAAGGCAGTGATTTCCTTTTCCTGTTCAACCACTGGCGAAGTTTTGTTGCACAAGTGTTGCAGCATATGTGTGGGGCCCACCTCTTGTCCTGATCTCCAATTTTGCAGCCAAAATAAAGGTGATAGGCTTTCTTAACCATAGTGGTTATACTGCGCTTTTGAGATGCAAAAGTCACTTCACCACAAACATAGCAGAAGTTATCTGCACTGTTCACACAAGTACGAGGCATCTCTGCTCACTTTGGCCAGGGCCGGCTCCAGGCACCAGCTTCTCAAGCAGGTGCTTGGGGCGGCCGGTCGGGAGAGGGGCGGCAGGTCCAGGTATTCGGCGGCAATTCGGCGGACGGTCGCTCACTCCGGCTCAGAGTGAAGGACCTCCCGCCGAATTGCCGCCGCAGATCGCGATCGTGGCCGCGGTCTTTTTTTTTTTTTTTTTTGGTTTTTGGCTGCTTGGGGCGGCCAAAACCCTGGAGCCGGCCCTGCTTTGGCTAAACAGAAATGTGTCCCTTTGCAAAATCAAACACTGACAAATAAGAGAGCATGACACTGTCTGATTTCTAGAGCTAATCTAGGGCAATTTGTTCAGCAGAGTGATGTAAGCTTCGTTATGATTGCATCATCCATGACTTCTAGGAATAACATGATGCAATTCATATCATGTATGACGCAATACCAGCTTCAGATTGCATCATTCATTGTTTTGCCTAAAAACCAAGTACTGTCCAAACCCAGTCATAGATTTATTCATAGGTCTAGTCAAAGTTGTAGTTTAGTCATTTCTGGTTTAAATTGAGATCCCTTCCCTTTGTAACTCACTTATCCTCCGCCATTCCCAAGTCAATGGTCATATAGACTGACCCAATAGCGTATCTTGAAAACTAGCGCCAATCAACAATTTTAAGCATCATTTTCATTCTCAGTGACCCAGAATTAGTAAAGTTTGACTACATTTTATTTCAGAAGCATTTTGGCTGTAGAGCAGTGTAATTCGTGTGCTGAATGCGATCATCCTCTACAGCATGCGCAGCAGCCTGCCTATGCCCTCCCATGACATAAGCACAGGTAGTGAAAAGTGCTTCCTCGTGCCACAAGAGGGGGCTCTAAGAGGCCAGCGAAAAAAACCTGCAGGGAAGAGCATGGGGAAAGCTCTGCTACAGCTTAAGACCCCTCTGCGGAAGGGAACTGTGACCTCTACACTCATTCCCTCCCCTTCTCCCACAGTCTCACTCTCCCCACCCCCACTGCCCGCCTGTTGTACAAGGAGAGAAGAGATGTGCAAGGTACCAATTCGGCCTGCATCCTGCAGCTGGATTTTGAGCATCTCCATGGGAGTGGTGACAATCACCTGGCAGGTGCCCGCCCCGCAGCCGGCCAGCATCTCCTTCAGCAGCGTCAGCTTCTTCCTGCCCAGCAAGAGAGAGATTCAGTCAGAAGATCTGGCTCAGAGCAACGTGCCCCTGGAACAACAGAGACAGCTGGGTTCCCTCAGAGAGATGCCCGCTCTCCGTGCCAGGCTCCATCCCCACCATGATGGAATTACAGGACAGATGGTCCTGGGCCACAGCATTGATGCACAGGTACCACCGGCTGGGACACAAAGTGGAGGTAGTCTGTACTGGGCACAGTGAGCCAGCTGGTGTCAAAGGCTGGGCGTTTTGGTCCAGCATAATCTGCTCTGGAGCAGGGGAGCTCACAGCTCCCCCATACACTGAGCTCCCAGGAAAGTCACAAGTACCAGAAGTTACCACAGGGCCGTTACTCTTTAACGGCATGCAGCTGCAGAGGTCAGCAACCAGGAATATGTTCTCCTTCACCTCCTCCAAAACCCCACAAAACAGAGTCAAGACTTCAAAAAGGAACTGCTGAGTTGGGGTGTTCAACGCAATACACCTTACTGAGGCCTAATATGCAGAAAGTGCTGAGCACCAGCCCTTTGAGAATCAGGTCTCCTTAAGGCACCAAAGATCACTGTCAAAAAGTTTTCTAAAAAAATCAGCCAGAGTTTTTTTGTTGACTGCTATAGCCAGGCACCCTCACTTAGGGCTGGTCTACTCTAAAAGATTAGGTTGGTTTAACTACTTCGCTCAGGAGTGAGAGCAGCATTGTCAAGCTGACCTAAATCCCCATGTAGACAGCATTAGTTCAATGGAACAATTCTTCCGTCGACCTAGCTACCACTTCTCAGGCAGCTGGATTACCTACACAGATGGGAGACTCCATCCTGTCAGCACAGGTAGTGTCTACACTGAAGCACTATAGTGGTGCAGCTGTAGCGTTTTAAGGGGTTGTCTACACTTACAAGAGACTCAGTGTCAAGGTGTTATCCCAAAATTTGTCCTACCTTAAAAAAAAAAAAAGTTATATAATAATCTGATAAGAGTCCTCAGTATCCTAAATATTTACTATAAAAATCTACCATGCTGAAAAATAAACAGCCAAAACACTCTTTTTTAATAGGACCTACTCTAAAGCAATGTTTTTGCTCCTCCTAATGGCTCTGTGGCAATATTTCACTGACACACTATTCCAAGGTGGTACCGATACCACTGATGATACAGACACAAAGTCAATTTGGGTTAGCAAGACGTATGGCTGCATTTATATAAATACAACCCCATTCGATTTTTAACAAAACCATAACAATATCCCACTGCATTGACCCAAACACTTTAACAACAGCTGTTGTGTTTTGGGCCAATACTGTGTTTTGACGGTTAACTCCAGCTCTCTACAAAAGATGGGAGGACCCTGAACAGTTTCCAAGTAGAATAAGAACAAAACACATCAGTAAGCGATTGGGGAGTGGGGGTGGGAAATCAGGTTTATTTTAAAGCCTCTAAGAGAATCTTACAAGCAATAAGATGTATAAACATTGTGTGACATTCTCAGGGCACCCAGGGCCGAGAGTCACCTTGTTACCCCTCCCAACAGCAAGAGGGAGTCCTTTCTTGGGGCAGCACCTTGACACTGCCAGTCCCTCAAGCTCTCCCCTCTGGGCTATGCCAGCCCTTCCTTCACCTTGCAGATTAATAAGAGGTGCACCCCAATCCCCAAGTCCCTTTGAATTGTTCCCCTGTGATATCCCCACCCCTGACACTGGCTACTCACATAAATCCCAGACCCCCTGTACCCAAAGGTGCAATGTACCCCAGTTTACCGGTTTAACCGTAAACCACGCAGCACTTGTGAGTATTTATAACAAAACAAAAGGTTTATTTATGAATAAAAATTTAAATAGAAACAAGAGTGCTGGAAACAAGTAGTTACAATAAAAAAAAAAAGTAAACGCACAAAAACCTGGGTCTACACTTATCAATTGTTACCTTTCCTATCTAATAAAGTAGATTTCCTCCCAAAGTTTAGTCTATTGCAGAGCTGGCTGGTTTCTCAAGAACCAGCATCCAAAAGTTCATGAAAGCACCCCCCCATCCCAGCCAGGGATTTTCTTCAGTGAATGGATACAAAGTGCCTTATCCTACATTGTGTTACACTGAAGACAGACTGGTTTCTATTCATGGGCAGGGCAAACCCCTGCTTGCTGCAGTTTCTTTTCTACCTTTCCGTGGTTTCAATTGTTTGTCACAGTCTCTGACTGTTTTCCATTGACTGTGGCAAGGGTAGACAACAGAACCTTGCATTACCCTGCTGTCTGATTAGGGAGGGGTGACAACTCCCTTTTGCTTGATTGGGTCATCACCAAGACACATTACCTCCTGGGTGACTAATTTCTGCTCCAAGCCCAGACAGCGCACTTTCAATATTTCCAATATACATTGTTCCTTAAACATTATCTGTGCATACATCTCGCAACGATTATGAGTCTTGAGATACCTTACATGCTACTCTTTATCGATAAATAGCCCATGAGATGTGTTTGGTGTGGTGAGTCTGTCAGGTCTTAGGTTACAGCTGTTTGCAAAGAACAGGGGAACCTTTGCCAACAGATCTCTGTATCACATATTGAACTTAATGGGCCAGACCCTCAGATGGTGCAAACTCAGCACAACTCCACCAGTTTAAGTGGAGCGATGCTGGATTTACACTAACAAATAATGTTTTGAAAGCATCCTTCGAGCCCAGGCTATAAATGAGCTCATGGAAGTGTCACACTGTTTCCGCACCACCACCTCAAACACAATACAGTGCCCTTAGCAGCGGCTCAGAGATTCAGTGAGTTGTCAACATCTCCTGCCACAGGGAAGAATCAGGTGGCATGAGAAATAGCCTCACTCCCCTCTCCTCAACAACATTCCCCCCCACCCCTTTAAAACTCCCTCAAGGCTAAATTCACCTATCCAGTGACATGACAGGATTGCTAGTCAGGCTGTTACCCTCAACTAATCCCCCATAGCCTGCGTGTCAGCTGTTCAGATTTCTCTACTTCACATCTGCTCTGGGGGGAGGACGCCAGGGGAGGGGATTATGGGAATAAGGCCACAGTGAAGATTATCAATGACTAAAGATAGATTCCTCCCTTGAGAACAAAGGAAGGAATTTCTCACCGAGTTTCCATCTCAGACCCCTGGGTACAGGATGATCAATGAGTCACTGAATTATTAGACAGTCACCTGCAGAGAGTCTGGGTCCACATGGACCTTTTCTCCCCTTTGTTGAGGTGTTTTAAGAGACTCCTTGAGGAAGTGGGTGTTTTCCTAGGACAATTATCCCTCACGGCTGGATTGAGGGCTCTGAATACTTGGGAGATCTATTTAGCAAGCCTCTGATTGTACAACAGCCCAAGAAGCAAGATCCTCACCCCTTTCAGTCACTCAGGAGCCAGGCAGGGTTGTGTGCAATTAAAGGTGAACTTCAAACAAACACTCCATGTTCTATCAGCATCATCAGAACAAGTAGATTCCACCCACTACCACCTGCACACTAGGCAAAGGGCAGTACCTCCGCTGGTGTATGTCAGTACGACTCCACTGGCTTCTATGTTGTTATGCTGACAAACACCAGCTGAGGATCTGTGCATACACCATTTTTAGAAGGCACCAGCTCCTGTGTGTGTCTATGCATCGCCCTAGGTGCCTAAATACTATGGTAAACAGGGAATTGTGGACCAGATCCTCAGCTGGTTTAAACTGGGGTAGAGCAACTGAGTTCAAAAGGAGTCACACTTAATTTACCCCAATGGCAGTCTGACCCTATCACTGCAGAGACCATGTACCATTCCTGCACCTGGTGTAAAAATATAACACCTTCTGGCAAGTATATGTCAGGGCTGAGTACTCTGGCCGTGGAACCTATCCATTTGAATTTCCCGACATACCGTATGTCATAAAAACTGCAACCATAAAGGCACCATGTTCCATCCTCAAAGACAGCCGAATAGTGGTCTTCAAACTACCCCCATACACACACACACAAACGCCAGCCTAAGACAAAGAATGAGGATTTTCAACCTGAGTCAGTGATCTCGAGAAGGTTATAAGCAATTGGAACTGTGGTTTCAAAAACGAAGAGCGAACCACAGTAGCATCACTGTAGAGTTGGCACTGTGATGGAGAGAGTTAAAAAAGCAACATTACCACCACTTCTCTCTCTGACAGATGCATTCTGTTCCTCCACTGCCTATAACATCAATCCCTTTTTAATCCCCTCACCCCACGTCTACCCCCCTTTAGGACGGTGCTAACACTTGGCTCCCAGAACTAGCAATGCAGTCTCCAGGGCAATGCACTTGGCATGCAGTTTAGAAATTAGAGGCCAGGGCAGCATTGTCCCAAGCATTGCTCCAGCTCAGTGTTCACACCACCGCTGAAATGTGACCTAGCCGTCCCTCCATCCAGAAAGAGGGGCAGCCAGGCCAAATGGTGCTGTGACCTGGTGTGTGGGGAGTTTGTTCCTGCATGGCAGAGCACCGGGGAGTGCACCCAGATCTCGACTCCTGGCAGCACCAGCTCATGCATTGTGTGGGTAAGTGAGAAATATCCCAAGTAGTATCTGAATTGGCACCCTGTTGTGTACTGTTGGTGGGCACAGGGTTAAACAGCTGTCATGTTCTAGCCTGGCCGTGACAGTACTTCCATGGTGGGAGAAAAGATGGATTAGAGAGAATATATAAATATAAACACAGCCCCCCCTCAGAAAAAGTCACCTCTGGGGTGGAACACAACAGCTGTTTAACCACACATATCAACACTACACAAAAATATACAGGGCTGATCCAAAGGCCACTGGAGTCAATGGGGGTCTTGCCATGGGCTTTGGATCAGACTCCTAGTACATTTGAACCTTTTGGGAAGAGTGCAAGACATTATAAAATAAAGAGGAGTCAGGGTCAAACTTGAGATTTGATGGAAAGGAATATTCCCACCAGGAGCCGGCAGAATGGTCGGGGTGCCTGCCATTCTAGCAGATTAGTCCCCAGCACGTACTGGGAACTAAAATCTCTCATTTC